AAGGGACATTCCCCCCACTGACCCCCAATGTAAGGGACATTCCCCCCACTGACCCCCAACGTATTGTACTGTGAGCTGCTGATATGTTTATGATCGGCAGAGGTTCCCTAAAACCTGAACATTATTTCAATTGTTCTTTCATGCTAAACAAAGTTTTAGAAAGGCCGATATAGTGATCTTAAAGCCTAATTCTCGTTCCATCCCACCTTGTTCCTCTCCCTCTTCTTGATGTAAATTAAGCTCTTACCATATAACTTTCTCCCAGGTGTCTGGTCTGGTGACATCACAGCTGAACGACGTGGGACCAATATCGGTAGAAGTCTCATAGGGCAGAGGGATGACTTAACCTCAGCCAATGCTGTTGTGGTGGGGGGGAGGGGAGATCTATATGCACGGGTCTCACAGGAAGTGGGCTGAACGACAACAGCCAACAATTAACTGGAAGAGCAGCAATTCAATGGCAAAAATAAATTGCTGCTGAGCAAGGAGCCGGAGTGTATTGAGCAGGTTTTTTTTGTATCAAATGTATTATTTTGGGAGTTATTTTTTTTTCATCAGCCTGGATTTGGGCTCTGAACCCTCCATGGGTGATGTCAGGACTGCTCAAGCACGGTGTATCAAAAACAATTGCAGCGTTTTTCTATTGGAAAAAAGGACGGGTCTCACCTTTCCTCTTCCCCTTTTGCTGATCTCCTGTAGCCTCTTTCCAACCAATCGCATTCTATGTGCCCCAGGGATGGCTGCACATAATTGCTCCGGATTGGCTTCCTGATGCTGACAACAGCTGAACTAAACTAAAAAAAAAAATTACATCAGCACGCCTGCTTGTTGCCTGAATGGGAATGGGGAACGAGTGTGACACGACAGGAGCACCATTGGAAGGCCGTTTGCAGGAAATTCCTCAAAAAAAAAAAAATTGGTTTGGTAACTAGGGGATGCAGCAATACCATTTTTTCCCCCAGACTGAGCACAGTTATTGTTCAAGTACTCGCCAATACCAATTACCGATACCTTTTGTAGTGTCATGTGACAGTTTCTTCTAAAACAAAAACTAAATTATTTTGGGACAGTAGTGAAGCGCCAGAGCCCGGCCCCAGCTGCAACCACTGCGACCCTCGTAGTCCTGCTACTGTCTCCAAGCTGTAGAGGGACTACAAATCTCAGCAATACATTATACAGCAATGCGGACTAATACCATCAGCTATAGAGGACTACAAATCCCAGCAATACATTATACAGCAATGCAGAACAACAACATCAGCTATAGAGGACTACACATCACAGCAATACATCATACTACAATGCAGAATGACCACGGTTATCAAGCACTACAAATCCCAGCAATACATTATACAGCAATGCAGAATAATTACTCTGTGCTGCTCTGGGGAAGGCGGCCTGATGTCTCCAGTGGAGGATCTCAGGAGGGCTGTGCGGGGTCTCATTAGGTGGCGGGATTCCCCAGGAAGGAGGAGACGTGCGGCTGGCGCAGTAAACAGGTGCCACATAGTTTACAGGAAGGCTGCCTGAGGTACTCAGCAGCCACAGGACTTCAGGCAGCCACTTCAGAATGTAAAGCGCCATTATCGGCACTTAGTCTCCGGGCATTTCCACGTGTACTCGTGACACTGATATCGGTGCATCCCTTATGGTAACACCCGTCATTCCAATGCATGGCTCTGATACGGAGGAAGATGAGTAATCTCAGCCTGGGCTTGTGACAGTCACCATCCATAAGACTTGTCCAGAGGTTCATTAATAAAACCGTGATTGTGATAGTTACACCCGTAAGATAATGTGGAAGTCGTATGAAGACAGGAGAGTACACCGGGATCCAGAGATAATCTGTCACTGTCAGGATGTAACTTCATCCCACATCAAGACTGAACTATTAACCTGTGATTCTCATGTTTGCCCATTGCAGAAGACCGGACAGATCGAGGTCACGTAGTATCAGAAGATCGTTTACTAGCACATAACCAATCTCTGCCACACACCATGCATCACTGCTGTTTGCACATGGCCTTTGATGCTTCCTTACTAACGAAGTGCGAAAATATATTGTAGTGCGCCCCCAAACCACTAGAGACCTGAGGTGGACCCCCAAAGGCAGGGAGGGCTAACATTTCACTGTCAGGGGCAGAACCTTAGCCAGTGAAGGGTCATGTGATCAAGAAAGTTGACCAGGCACCTCCAGTAGTCCAGCTTCTCTTCTTACCGTCAGTTCCAGACCCCTCCCGGGTCCACATGTGGCCTCCTGCAGGCTTGTGATCTAGCCAGCTTCTCCATCTGAGCACCCCAACCTCCAGACTAAGCCCAGAGGCAGACTGACCTGAGCACATGGCAAACCCCCTGAGTATGTCTACACTCACCCAGCATGCACCACTGGCCATGAAACTCCCAGTGATTGGTTGTGAAGTACAGACACTCAAGAGGTTCCTCCATTGGCTGTCCCAAAGAAGGTGGTACGGGCTACAACATTTTAAATTTTTTTGGGGGGCCCCCACTACAGAGATAAGTAACAGACCGGGGCTGTGGAAGTAGAAGGTACCTCATGTGCTGCGCCACCACTTTTCTAAGTCTACACTAACCAACTACGGGCCAACTAGTGAGACTAATCCTACCCAGAATGCTTTGGCTGGAGGAGGTTTGTTATGTGTCCTTAGTGGAGATGTTCCTCACTCCCCTCAATGACAAACCCACATGTTTCTAATATGTGATTGGCCATCACAAAACTGGACAGTGACAAACTTTAATTTACTGGGCACATGGACAATACTGAGTGTTCCCAAATACATTATAGATGGAGCTCAAATATTTAGTTCCTCCCAAGAGCTTTGGTTTTGGCTGGAGAGCAGATTTAGTCATCCAGGCTCCATTACATGATTGACTGGGCTGTAGATCTATAAAGGAAGGTTAACAACAGCCTATAGCAACCAAGTTTACTGCACCCCCACCATATTACATTTTCCTGCATATTTAGCTACTCTTCAGGTAGGCCACAAAATGTATATTTTACAGCCATTTAAAAAAAAAAAAAAAAAAAAAAAAAATCCCTAAAAATAGAATTTCAGGCTTAGTTCCCATTTTAGATATTAAGTCTGCAAAATCAAGCTGACAATGGTCCCCTATGCAAGGGACAGATGTGAAAACCCCCACAAGTCACACCAGTCAGTCTGAGACCTTCTATAATACTCACTTCTCCTTCCACCACAAGAGACCACACAGCTGTCCATGTTAGATGGCACACATACGGAAGCACTGCAGTGAAAGTAGACCTGCAGACAAGTGTATACAGTTACAATACAGCATACTACCGGCATAAAAAGCGAGAGGTTGTATTAGGTTTACCAGGCCTCCAAGGGCAAGCTGGGTGTTGGCGTCTACAAATGTGAAGGTGTTGACAAGGAAGCGCTTGTAGTAGTTGGGTAGAGGTATAGACGGTGAAGGAGCTCCAACAGGAATCAGGCTGCTCACATAGTTGTCTCTGGAAAAAGGGCAACTGAAACCAACAAGAGACATTTTAGAGTTGTGATCGGCACCAAAGGTATACTAGATTACTAGCTACAGATCATTCACCTGTCATACAAGATGGGCCATTGAGGAAGGAGTGTAGGATCAGCAGAGTTGGTGGCCCAGCAGTCATTTAAGACTAGGACCAGGTTTGGGTCTGTTCTACGGATGATGCGGACCTCCAGGTAGACCGGTTCCCTCAGCACTCTGACCAGAGGATACTCATCTTCAGCATAGTAAGCTTCATAGCCAAGATCTGCATTAGATAACATATGCAACAGATTACTCCAAGATATAGGGGTGGGGCTGGCAGGTTACATGCAACAAGTTTATACCAACCGGTGGAGGCATGAGGGTTGGCACAAGATTCATTGTCCTAGTATAAACCTACACGGCACACAGACAACATACTGTGAGAATTACAGAATGAATGTATATTTGCATGTGAATATATGACCAGGAGACTTTATGCTGCGTTTCCCCAACACACAACTTGAATGTATATTTGACCCAAGCTTCAGATTTCCTGCAGCAAGAGGGAAATTCAAAGCAGGGAGGTGAATGAGCCAAATGAAGCGGCCCTTGTAGATGGGACATGCTTCCCAGCTTGTATGCTTGATAGTAAAAAGCTGGGATCAGGGACAATGGAGAGGACAGAGTTGAGTGATGTGGAATAGGCTGCATTGAAGATGACCTCTAACCCTACAGTTTGAGGTGGGAGTGAAAAATGAAGAGCCAAAAGATTTTTGCTCAAGCAACCAACAGATTCAGGGCAATCTTGTCCAAGATCAAACCCCAGCTGCAGAAGTTAGACATTTGAGGCTCGCTAACCTGTAAGCCATGGCAGGTGAATGAACAGTACCCACTGCTTTGAGCTTATGCCATTTTCATGCTACTGGACAACATTGAAAGCCACAACTTGGAAGTTTAGAAAAAAACTTCAAATCTGAATTTTAGAGCTTTAAGCCTTGGGGGATCTGCCCCAGTAGGACATTCCCTTTGCCTTCTCATCTACCAAGACTGTCAATACCCGTTACTTCCGATAATGGAAACATGTGACAATGCTGGTCCAACAAGCATGGCTACACAAGTCTATAGACCCTTGTAAGCCATATCTGGGGGACCAGTAGACTACAAGTTGCTGCTTCTCCTGGTAGAGAAACAAATGCAGAACTGGGAGCATGCTGGTTGCTGTCTGGTAAGAGAAGACCAAGGAAAGGCTTCCTGCCTCCAGCTAACCGAGAAGCTTCAGGTTTTGGCAAAGTCATTCAACTTCACTGATTGCTCTGAAGTTTTGTTGCTTTATACTGTGACAGGTCACAAATTCAGACTTGAAGTTAAGGGCCACCCTTTGATGCCCTGCCAAGTCTGCAGTCCTGGCACCCCAGTGACAGATTGTAGTATTGTGCTCAACATTGTGAATTTTGAATTACACCAATATGAACTGAAGTGATTGCAGTCAGTGGAAGCATGTAGGCCAACTTCTAGCATTGTGTGCAACAATTAGAAAACTGATGTTCTTACCTCGTGCAATCCTCATCTCGAGCTCGAGGGGGCCAGATGTACTAACAGGAGAAGGTGGCGGCAAGGTATGCACAGTCACAGCCAGCGGTGCAATGCCTGTCTGAGTGTACCTGCAGCGCACAGTCACCCTAGATAAACAGTAGAGGGTTAGATACCATTCCTTCTCCCATTACTTGTAGCAGGTTTGCTCATCTTACCTCATTATACTGTCCCTAGTGATAGAAGAACCCCGCCATGTCTCTATGGTTCTTGGAGCTTCAATAGTATTCTCATAGTTCATTGGACCATCAGGGACCTGGGGTGTAGAAGAGTGAAGAGATTAGAGCTAGCCAGGCAGTCAGCTTCCCTTTGAAGCAACACACCCCATCCAACATCAGTAGGATCAGAATTCCTGGTTTGTGCCCCTTCACAAGGAACGCTTCCAAGGTGCATTTCATGCCATTTGTTCTGTACACAAGAAACTCGACTGTTCAGTGTATCAAGCAGGTTCTAGAGGATTGTTGGCAGTATTTGATTACCAGTTTATACTTTACTGGATGACATTCTAGAAGCAGCCTTATGACCCCAAAACAAAGTCTCAGAAGTTAAAAATTGAGCCACCATCTTTATTTTGGGTAGTGAAACTGAACCCATATTGAGCTTAACCAAGAGACAGTCCCAACTAGAATTTTAACTGGAGTAGAACACCCATCAAGTTTTTATTGCCATCTGTCCCTCTTGAGTCACCTTCCCATTTGTCCTGGGGGCTCACTGAAACCAAGTTATCAGACCAGATTAGATGGGAAATCTTCCAATGGTCACCAGAACTAGTATCTCCACCAGGGACTCCCTCATTGGAGGAAATTACCCTCACTTCCTCTTATGACTACCAGACCGCAAGTGGAGAAATCTCCCTAAATGGGACAGATAGCAAAAAACACTGACATGTATTAGAACCCCCTTATTACATCTTATACTAGAATTGAAGCCATAAGTAGTAGCCGTTAAGACATGTGAACTGCCAAAAAATTTGTTTAGTTTCAAATTTGGATTTGTGTCATTTCGTTTTTCGGGAGTCGGGTGTGAAAGTCAATTCGGATGAAATTCGTTAGCGGTAGTTCGTTCGCACGTTAGTTTCGTTTTCGTTTATTCGCAGCAGAGTGACATTTGAGGGGGGTAAAGTCTCTCTTTAACGAACGAAACGAATAAGAAAACTAAACGAACGTTCGAAAGAACTACCGCTACCAAATTTCGGAAACGGAAATTCGGATTAGTTATATCTGTAATTCGGATACATCCGAATGTCCAAAAATTCGTCCGAATTTCGATTCGGAACGAAACGAATTGCACATGTCTAGCAGCCGTAGTTTTGAATTAGATCCGCTAATGCTTCAAGTCAAGGGTTTGGGCCAAGATCTCAGTCCCTTGTTTTATGCATGAAAGGCAATGAGTACTGCTAGTCGCCCTAGTGCTGTGAAGGCCAGACCTTGGGACCAGGAATACCCACCTGATCTGCATTACTACAGGATAATGGGAATTTGAATGCTGCAAAGGAGTTACTTCTAGCTACTGACAGCCCAGGACAAGAGGTAGGGTCCACACCAATCACAGAGACCGAGTCCAGAAGCAGGGATGGCCTGGTCAGATCTTTGGACACTGCAATCACCATGCTGTTATCAACTGCGCACTGTGTGGTCACTGTAGGAAACAAAGACGGTTTGTCACTATGAAGATCAGGTCAGAAAGTAGTCTCATCTAGACACTGTATTGTGGCCACTAGTCCATTTCTGAATGAGGTCACCTCACATCTGCGTGGTAATGTTAGGTTACAGGGAAGAGTACAAAGTTATACAATTCAGAAGACCCTAAAAGCAGGTCTTAGAACTGGTGGGGCTGTATACTGAGCCTGGAAACTGTAAAGAATGGTTTAGTCACCAGGGCTGAAAGACCTAAGAAAACCCTAAGACCATTTTGGTTTGTCACCATTGAGGTAACCCATTGCAAACCCCATTAAATTATATAGTTCAGCCAAACGCATTCCAGACTGGACATCACCCATCATAAAATGCAAGTGTTGAGTGCATGTCTGTAGCCATTGCTGAGGTGCTGCCAACCTTGCCAGCCAGAGTCTGTCAAAAGGTCGTTTCCCCTACAGGCCGATACCGACCCCCTCCCACCTTTATTGGGCCAAGCAATATCCCACTTACACATGTTGCCAAAGAAACAAGGCATTCTGCCATCATTTGGGGAGTAGCAGCATCCCAACGCATCACAGATGTCTCTGGTTACAGGTGTTCCAGCACAGGCCAGTTTGTCCTCTTGACTGACAGCAGAGCAGATGTCGGGGCTTGGGGCATCCATAGCTTCTAAACAAGAGAAAGTTATCATGTAGTAAATCTACATACTGTACATGGAATGTCCAATAAAGCTCTTGGATTTTAGTAGAAGGATTATAAACTGCTAGGTTTTGTGCCTCCCCTCAGCTTCTGTCCTAGTAACCACCCCAAGAAGTGACAAGCTACATAGTGCTCATGGTTTATAGGACATTAGGTTTCCCCAATTACAAGAAAAATCACTTGTTACCGTTCTGTATTGGGCATTTCTTCTCCATCTTGTATTGCTTAACTGTCCCATTCACAATGACTTCCAGAAGCAGGACCATTAGGTGCTCTCCATCCTATCAGAAGAAAAGTGGTTTTAGAACACTGCCAGTAACAGCCCCCTCTGGAGTCCCAACCTATTCTCCCAAAACCTGCTGGTCTATACCTAAAGACCACCTCTGCTCACCAAGGACTCATGAGATACTAGTGTCATAGCCAGCACAGGCACCTTCATAGTCTAGTGTGTAGAGCCGGGATCACCCAACAGCTCCTGCCATGGAGACAACAGGAGTGAGGAAGTCTACCAAGAGAGATTCCTTTAGGAAGTTGTCACCAGAACAGGAGACTGATTGTTTCCTCATCACCTCTAATTCTGGTAAGGGGTTGTCTTCCCCATTGATTTGTCATCAGGACAATGCAAGATCATAAATTTTAAGAGGGGCAAATGACTGCAATACACTTACAGGCTTTTTAGTCCTCTCCAAAACTAAAGTATTGGCCACACAAAGAATAAGTTACTAGTAGATAGTCCTAAAAGGATCACAAAAAAAGGCGACTGTTCTTTACTATCAAAACTCCATATACATGATTGTGATGAAGACAAGGACAGCATCAAAATCTGAAGTCAGTCTTACCTCTTCTCTTACGTAGCATCCATCATAAGCAGCACCAACCACCATTGTGTCATCAGGTCTCCTTACTACTGAAAGGCCGCAAGCAGAATCATTGGCAAGACTCTGAAATTCATCCTGGAAATCTGAACAGGAGACATATTGAAGTTGAGATTTCTACCAACAACTCAGATTGGAAAGACTCAGGTGCTGCCACATTACATTGTGGAACATCCAATGCAGGGTCAGATACGAGTATTACATGGAGGGAGATGACACCGGGGTGGTCACATATGAGAAGTTTAGACTGATAGACCAGCAAGAAACCCTCCAAAGAATATCAGTCCTGTGGAGACACCGCCTGGTAGCCCACTCACCATCTCAGGCTACTGCGGATAAGGGGGATTCAGTAGCAACAACTATATGTAGACATCACCAGCACCCCAAAATTCATTTGGAATTACCAAAAGTCTATTGAATAACCGAGTCACTAAAACAGCGTTTTTTGGGGCCACGCAGGGTCCCCTCCGTCAGGCTCAGAAACGGCAACTACACTGGGGAGCTGTGGGTCTATCAGGATGAAAGAGGGTCAGTAAGCCACAGTTGAAAGCACACACACAATGCTTCAAGAGACCCTTTCCCCAACTCCTAATTCTGCAAATGCTAGTTGCCTGGCTTCAACACCGAGCCACTAACAGTTGGAATTGAGTTTGTACTTTATTTCTTGTCCTGGGCTGTATAAAGATCAGTAGAGATGAAGCCAGAGGATCAGCATATCCTGGCAACTTCCTCCATGCACATAGCAGCCTCCACATCTCAAGCGCAGTGACCGCATACAAAGAAGCAACCAGACCAACTAGTGTTCCGTTTGCTGCATTTCCCCATTTTAAGAGTAAGCCAGCGCTGAGGCAACGGGAGCAGTTTTGCATGGGAATCAGCTTCAAGCTTTCATTCTCAAATCCTAGATGCCCATCAGGTGGGGGGGACTTCCATAAGCCACAGAGACCTCATAAGTGCCCTCTCGCACAGTAATCAATGTAACCAGGTTCTCACATACATCCCATTCCTTGATTCCTTGCAGCGTGCAGCCAGTCAACATGCACACAATTCAATAGCGGGAACCAAGCCTAAGGAATGGTCACAACTAGGTCTTATTTTCGGGGTAGGTCTTATTTTCAGAGAAACAGGGTACATCCCATTCCTTGCAGCATGCAACCATCATGGGGTCAGTCAACATGCACACAATTCAATAGCGGGCACCAAGCCCAAGGCCTCGTTCTCATGGACAGAACCTGTAAGGATTTCTACATTTATGGTACATTCAGGGTGCTTGTATTTAGAGAAGTCTTAGCTTGTGCATCCAGGGGCAGATTTAATACGCCGAACATTCAAGACAGAACAGGTTAAACTTAGTCTTACACTCAACCAGGGCCGGCCTTAGGCCTTTAGGCACCCTGTGCGAGAAAGCTTTACAGCGCCCCTCAGTGACCACACCCTCAGCGGCCACACCCCCAGTAATCACACCCATTTATCACCCATATTTTTGGGAAAATATAAAAAGCGGGGTCACGTCGGGTAAATAGACACCAAACATTACATGCTTTAAAATTGCACGCACCCGCAAAAAATTACCATGCCCAAAATTGACCATAGGTGACGCTTTAAAAGCTTTTACCGCTCATCAGTTTAGTGTTATCAGTGATTGATGGCCCTACAATTATTGCTCTCATTCCGACATTCGCGGCGATATGCAACATGTGCGGCTTAATGGGCGAAATCGTCGTTTTCACACGTATGCGCACCCGACTCCCGTTTGCATGAGTGTATGTATGGGGGGGGGGACTTTAAAAAAAAATGTAATTCTTTTTTATTTGTAACTTTACATTTTTGGGGGGGAAACTTTATTGCTATCACATAGGGGGGTTAGAAAACCCCCTTATGTGATAGCAAAATATGTGACAGGTCCTCTTTATGGAGACATCAGGGGTCTCCAAGACCCCTAATGTCACCTAGGACCCCCCTGAAGAAGCTGATGAAGCAATACAGCAACGCAGGATAATATGAAGCTACATACTCTGTGCTGCTGCGGGGAGGCCGGTCTGATGTCTCCAGTGGAGAATCTCTGGAGGGCCGTGCGGGGTCTCAGGAGGGCTGTGCGGGGTCTCATGGGCAGCGAGATTCCCCAGGAAGGAGGAGATGTGCGGCTGGTGCTGCAATCAGTTGCCACGTGGTTTACAGGAAGGCTGCTGGGATCCCCAGCAGGCACAGGACCTCAGGCAGCCACTTCAGAATGTAAAGCACCATTATCAGCACTTAGTCTCGGGGCATTTTCATGAGGACTCGTGACACTGATATCGGTGCATCCCTTATGGTAACACCCGTCACTCCAATGCATGGCTCTGATAGAGGAAGATGAGTAATCTCAGCCTGGGCTTGTGACAGTCACCATCCATAAGACTTGTCCAGAGGTTCATTAATAAAACCGTGATTGTGATAGTGACACCCGTAATATAATGTGGAAGTCGTGTGAAGACAGGAGAGTACACCGGGATCCAGAGATAATCTGGCACTGTCAGGAGGGGACTTCGTCCCACATCAACACTGAACTAGTAACCTGTGATTGTCTCACATTTGCACATTGCAGAAGACCGGACAGATCCCGAGAGGTCACGTAGGTATCAGTAGATCGTTTACTAGCACATAAAGATGCTTCCTTATTAAATAAGTGTGAAAATATATTGTAGCGCCCCCCTGACCCCCAGAGGCCTGAGGTGGCCAGGCACCTCCTGTAGTCCAGCTTCTCTGGTTCGCTTCCCACCATCAGTTCCAGACCCCTCCATGGTCCACATGTGGCCTCCTCCAGGCTTGTGATCTAGTCAGCTTCTCCATCTCGGAGCACCCCCCTCCCCTCGGCTAAGCTAAATCTGTCCAAACCACAGAGTGGTCACATGATATGCTGTGCACACAGACCCCACTTCCAAGATGAAATCCAGTCCTATTCATTCATTTGAAAAGCCTTATAACCAGTGAATACCCCAAAAATCAGCTAGGGTTGCCACCTGTTCTTCAACCGAAACCCGAACACTCAAACGACGCGCTGAAATTTTTTAGGGAAAATGAATCGTGGCTTATTCATATGTAAATAGCGCCGCCCATTCTTATGTAAATATCACAGTTGAGACTATTTTCAGTGCTGGGCCAGTAGCCCCTATCTTAATTTTGGTTTCCCCTAGCTGCCTGACATCTTGTGTCTGGGTTTCTGCTGCCATGAAACCCAGACACAGCATTCAAAACCCGAACTGTCCGGGTGAATCCTGGACAGGTGGCAACCCCAAGTGTAGCGCTCGGGATGTTGACCGGTTGCAACAACGTGATTAAAAAGATTAAAAAAATTGGATTTTACATCATTTTGGAGGTCTGGATCATCTTTAGATCTATACCCCAGAATACTGCTCAGAGAGAAGAGTAAAGACTGAATTGCCCCTCATAGGAATTCCCTACTCCCATTCCCTTCCTATCCCCCAGCTCCCAGTGCCAGACAGGAACAGCCAGACACTCCCTACCCTAAGCCACTTATAAAGGTTAGTGCTCCACCCCATTATTCAGTCTGATGCTCCCATGCCTCCCATCACTGGAACATAGTATTGTCAGGCAAGAGATCACTCCACCGGACAGTGTTCTCGGAGTTGCTGTTGGGTGCTAGAATGAGTGTTCCAGCACTTGTTAGTGGGATATGTCCTGGGTCCAGTTGATGCCGTGAGTCAGGGATAGTCCCAGGAGTATTATGAGGACCCATAAAATGTCTTCCATAAAAAGGAACAGTACGCAGGTTTTTTTTCCAGCGGACCTCCAGGTAGACCGGTTCCCTCAGCACTCTGACCAGAGGATACTCATCTTCAGCATAGTAATCTCCATAGCCAAGACCTGCATTATATAGAGAAGTTACATTTGCAACAGATTACTCCAAGTTATCATAGCATGCCTAGCTACAGCATGCTGTGTGCAATATGAACTGAGATTCCATCAGTGGAAGCATGTAGGCCAGCTTCTAGTATTCTAGGCAATCAGCTTCCCTTTGAAGAAACACACCCCATCCACCATCAGTAGGATCAGAATTCCTGGTTTGTGCCCCTTCACAAGGTGCATATGACACCATTTGTTCTGTACACAAGAAACTTGGACAGTTCTGTGTTTAAATCAGGATCCAGAGGATTGTTGGTAGTATTTGATTAACAGTTTACTGGATGACATTTTAGAAGCAGCCTTATGACCCCAAAAACAAAGCCTCAGAAGTTAAAAAACTTGAGCCACTATCTTAAACTATTTTAGGCAATGAAACTGAACCCATATTGAGCTTTACCAAGAGACATCCCTAACTAGAATTGTAACTGAACAGGAGTAGACCAACCATCAAGTTATTGTCATCTGTGTCCCTATTCGGGAGAGACGCCTTCCTATTTGTCCTGGTGACTCACTGAATTCCAGTTATCAGAAAAGATTAGATGGGAAATCTTCCAATGGTCAACAGAACTAGCGTCTCCACCAGGGACTCCCTCATTGGTAGTCACAAGAGCAAGTGAGGGTAAATTCCTCCAGACAGCAAGTGGAGAAATCTTCCCAATGGAACAGATAGCAAAAACGCTGACATGTATTAGAACCCCCTTATTACATCTTATACTAGAATTGAAGCCACAAGTGTAGTTTTGAATTAGATCCGGTAATGCTTCAAGTCAACGGTTTGGGCCAAGATCTCAGTCCCTTGTTTTATGCATGAAAGGGAATGAGTACCGTTAGTCTACCCAACGCAGTGAGGAAGAGACATTAGGACCAGAAAAACCCACCAGCTTACACTGTATAGGAATACCCACCTGATCTGCATTACTACAGGATAATGGGAATTTGAATGCTGCAAAGGAGTTACTTCTAGCTACTGACAGCCCAGGACAAGAGGTAGGGTCCACACCAATCACAGAGACCGAGTCCAGAAGCAGGGATGGCCTGGTCAGATCTTTGGACACTGCAATCACCATGCTGTTATCAACTGCGCACTGTGTGGTCACTGTAGGAAACAAAGATGGTTTGTCACCAAGATAAGGTCTGAAAGTAATCTCATCTAGACACTAAAAAAAAGGGACTAATGTCCACAATACAATGAGGTCACCTCACATCTGTGTGATATTGTTACGTTACAGGGAAGAGCACAAAATTGTAAAATTCAGAAGACCCTATAACTAGGTCTTGCTTAGATCTGGTTGTGGTGTATATTAGAAAGATAAAGAATGGTTTAGTCACCAACAGGGCTAAAATACCCAAGAAAAGCCAAGACCATTTTGGTTTAAATCACCATTGAGGTAACCCATTGCAAATCCCATTTATATAGTTCAGCCAAACTCATTCCAGACTGGACTGCAACTCACCCATCATAAAATGCAAGTGTTGAGTGCACGTCTGTAGCCATTGCTGGGGTGCTGCCAGAGTCTGTCAAAACGTTCTTTCCCTACAGTCCAATACTGACCCCCTCCCACCTTTATTGGGCCAAGCAATAACCAACTTACACATGTTGCCAAAGAAACAAGGCATTCTGCCATCATTTGGGGAGTAGCAGCATCCCAACGCATCACAGATGTCTCTGGTTACAGGTGTTCCAGCACAGGCCAGTTTGTCCTCTTGACTGACAGCAGAGCAGATGTCAGGGCTTGGGGCATCCATAGCTTCTAAACAAGACAAGGTATCATGTAGTAAATCTACATACTGTACATGCAGTTAATACCCCAATAAAGCTCTTGGATTGCAATAGAAGGATTATAAGTTACTAGGTTTTGTGCCTCCCCTCAGCTTCTGTCCTAGTGACCACCCCAAGAAGTGACAAGTTACATAGTGCTCATGGTTTATAGGACATTAGGTTTCCCCAATTACAAGAAAAATCACTTGTTACCGTTCTGTATTGGGCATTTCTTCGCCATCTTGTATTGCTCAATTGTCCCATTCACAATGACTTCCAGAAGCAGGACCATTAGGTACTCTCCATCCTATCAGAAGAAAAGTGGTTTTAGAACACTGCCAGTAACAGCTCCCTCTGGAGTCTCAACCCATTCTCCCAAAACCTGTTGGTCTATACCTAAAGACCACCTCTGCTCACCAAGGACTCAGGAGATACTAGTGTCATAGCCAGCACAGGCACCTTCATAGTCTAGAGTGTAGGGCCGGGATCTCCCAACAGCTCCTGCCCTAGAGACACCAGAAGTGAGGAAGTCCCTACCAAGAGAGATTCCTTTAGGAAGTTGTCACCAGAACAGGAGTTGGATTGTTTCCTCATCACCTCTAATTCTGGTTGTTTCCTCATCACCTCTAATTCTGGTAAGGGATCATCTTCCCCATTGATTTGTCACCAGGACAATGCAAGATCATGAATTCTAAGAGGGGGCATATGACTGCAATACACTTAGACATTTTAGTCCTCCCCAAAACTGAAGTTTGGGCTATACATAAAGAATGAGTTACTAGTAGATAGCACAGAACACGGTCACCATTTTTCATGAGCCTTTCAGGACCATTAAACTCCATATACATGATTGTGATGAATACAAGGACAGCATCAAAATCTGAAGTCAGTGTTGTCAATCTTACCTCTTCCCTTACGTAGCATCCATCATAAGCAGCACCAACCACCATTGTGTCATCAGGTCTCCTTACTACTGAAAGGCCGCAAGCAGAATCATTGGCAAGGCTCTGAAATCCATCCTGGAAATCTGAACAGGAGACATATTGAAGTTGAGATTTCTACCAACAACTCAGATTGGAAAGACTCAGGTGCTGCCACATTACATTGTGGAACAGCCAACGTAGTGTCAGATATGAGTATTACATGGAGGGAGATGACACCGGGGTGGTCACATATGAGAAGTTTAGACTGGTAGACCTGCAAGAAAGCCGCCAAAGAATATCCATCCTGTGGAGACGACACCGCCTGGTACCCCACTCACCATCTCAGGCTACTACGGATAAGATGATTCTTCATGTAATTGAGCAGCAATCATACAGCTCCTACATCTGCCAAGAAGCAGCTCAAGTACATGGCCAGTATGTGGATGCTTAGCCACACTCGAAACTAGGTATACCAAGTAGAGGGTGGGGGTGCTCACAGTGACTGCGGATGGTGCCGTCAGCAGTAACTACATGTAGACATCACCAGCACTCAAAAATCCATTCGGAAACGCCAAGTGTCCCATTTATTAAATAACAAAGTCACTAAAAAAAAAAAAAAGAATGGTCCTTCCATCAGGCTCAGCAAGAACAACTTTGACATCACTACACATTAGGGAGCTGTGGGTCTATCAGGAATCAATTGTCAGTAAGCCACAGTTGAGAGACTACATCCAGGTTTCAAGAGACCCTTTCCCGACTAATTCTGCAAATGCTAGTTGCCTAGCTTCAACACCGAGCCACTAACAATTGGAAAGGAGTTCGTACTTTAGATCTCTATACAGCCCAGGACAGGAAATAGAGATGAAGCCAGAGGATCAGCATATCCTGGCAACTTCCTCCATGCACATAGCAGCCACCACATCGCAACTGCAGTGACCGCATACAAAGAGGCAACCAGACCAACTAGTGTTCCGTTTGCTGCATTTCACCATTTTAAGAGTAAGCCAGCGCTGAGGCAACGGGAGCAGTTTTGCAAGAAAATCAGCTTCAAGCTTTAATTCTCAAATCCTAGATACCCATCAGGTGTTTGCCACCTGTGGAACACCTTCCATAAGCTTTAAGCCACAGAGACCTCATGAGAAGTGCCCTCCCGCACAGTAATCAATGTGACCAGGTGCCCAAAAAGATTCAATTCCTGGCAGCATGCAACCAAGGAGCCAGTCAACATGGATAGCATTGCAGCAACATGCACACAACTAAATAGTATGAACCAAGAATAAGGCCTCAGTCTCATGGACAGAACCTGCAAGGATTGTAAATACTACATTTATGGTACATACGGGGTGCTTGTATTTAGAAAAGTCTTAGTTTGTGCTTCCAGGGGCAGATTTAATACTCTGAACGCTTGCTCACACAGGGCTTGGCGAACAAATTGCCTGGGACATGTTTCCTACATTCAGAGACAGAACAGGTTAAGCTTAGTCTTATACTCAACTAGCCATTCAGAGTACAGCTCTGCCCTAGATAGTTATTAAGACAATTCAACACAACCAAGCCGTGACCATTACACATGAGCAGTGTCACATCTTCATGCCCTTCAGAATGCTAAAGCTTCATAAGATCACCCCCCCACCTTAATACATCAGTACACATCCACCATGCCCAGCCCTAGCTCTCTAGTCCAGACAGTTTCCACCTCTTCACCCACAAAAAGTAAAGGCAAAGTTAAAAATGACTCACCCAGCACAGTCAGTGAATAAGAAACACCTTCAACTGACATAGGAAGGGTCAGCTCCATGTTGTTCAGAGCACAATGGAGATGTGAGGCGCCATCCCAATGCCCTTTGGCATCACACAGCATCCATGACAGACCACAGCTCCAAAGCAGAAGCACCAACCCCAATCCTGCCCTAGAATACAACATCTTGCAGACCACTTCCAATACTGACCTCCAGCCCTGACCAGAGATTTATATGCTGGGGAGGGGGCGGGGCTTCAGGACGATTGGACAAAGACTGATATGCTGGCAGGTGATCTCAATACGATTAGGGCTGCAAAGGTGGCCAGAAACGACTGACATCTGTGGGCCTCATCTAACCAATCAAGGTGCATGGAGTCTGCTCTGGGAAGATTAAAGGGGAAGTCCACCTTTTACAAGAAATAATAAACGCGCACACATCCATAGAAGTAACAATGTGCAATGAATGATTATATTTTGGCATTGGAGTCTGTGAAGCATTGCAACTGTCATCAATGGATCCCCATTTGTCACCGCAGCAGAGGGACTCAGCAGAGAGCGCCGGCATCAGGGGGCTGAAGGCATTGCAATTGTAGTTCATCAATTACCTCCTCCATCCCATAATAGAAGGTCCCTACCACCATAAGGACCTCCATAAGGACTGCGGGCTGGGGGTTCATATTACAGGAGCCTGAGCATTGCACTTGTAACGCACTGATCGCAGTTGCAATGCTCTGCAGGCTTGAATGCATACATTTAATTAATGCACATTTTTTATTTTACCCCCATCGGTGCATTTATTACCTAAAAGGTGGACTATGTCTTTAAAAATGAGCATAGATGGACTTCCCTTACCCCCGGCTACCATACTGCACCTCCTACTGGTGTGGCATCCTCTGTTTTGGCCAGATCTCGCGGAATGCTATCTAGGCCAAATGGGGTCAGACGACGCTCCATCACAGTGCAAGGACCTCTCCTACCATCACACCAAGATTTGGTGACATGCATTATTAACATGCATTGATGTGTTTTGAATTTAGGGTTTGGAGTGGATGGAGCCAACAGTCAATGACCACGGCTTCCAACCCATCAGAGTGAACGTTGTATTGACGCGCTGAATATGGATTTTGATGCTTTGCCATTGACTTCTATCGGCCTCCCGACGCACTAAAATGCAGAGAAAAAACGCACGCTGCATCATAGTGAGTGCTGAGATGAGAACAGGTTCTATTGTTATTATAGGGAACCTGGACACGTGCGTTCAGCATCATGTAATGTGTGCAATAAAACACCACAGTGTAAATGGGCTCCCAGGCCGCTCAGCCTTGCCCCGTATCTCACTGGAAATAGAGTCACGTGACCTTCTCTTGGTCGTTGGCGTTGTTGCAATGCAGTTCGGCTGCTGACTCCAAGCTGTAGAGGGACTACAAATCCCAGCAATACATTATACAGCAATGCAGAATAATATGAAGCTACATACTCCGTGCTGCTGAGGGGAGGCCGGTCTGATGTCTCCAGTGGAGGATCTCAGGAGGGCTGTGGGGGGTCTCATGGGTGGCGGGATTCCCCAGGAAGGAGGAGATGTGCGGCTGGTGCTGTAAACAGGTGCCATGTGGTTTACAGGAAGTCTGCAGGGGCCCCCAGCAGGCACAGGACCTCAGGCAGCCACTTCAGAATGTAAATCACCATTATCGGCACTTAGTCTCCGGGCATTTTCCCATATACTCGTGACACTGATATCGGTGCATCCCTTATGGTAACACCACCATCCCATCCATAAGACTTGTCCAGAGGTTCATTAATAAAACCGTGATTGTGATAGTTACACCCATAAGATAATGTGGAAGATATATTGTAGTGCGCCCCTGACCCCCTAGAGGCATGAGGTGGACCCCCAAAAGGCAGGAATGGCTGACATTTCACTCTTAGGGGTAGATCCTTAGTCAGTGAAGGGACATGTGGTTAAGAAAGTTGACCAGGCACCTCCAGAAGTCCTGCTTCTCTGGTTCTCTTCCCAACAACAGTTCCAGACCGCTCTCCGGGTCCACATGTGGCCTCCTCCAGGCTTGAGATCTAGTCAGCTTCTCGATCTTTGAGCACCCCACCCCATGCTAAGCCCTGGGGCAGACCAACCTGAGCAATGACAAATCCCCTGAGTATTTAGGCACTCACCCAG